CGCATCCATGGTATGCTTGAAGGTCACGATGCTGGGCTTCACCCTCGCCCCTACCATCTCGCTCAGGACTGCGAGGGTCAGCTGCCACTGCCCGCCCGTGGCGCATGCTTTGATGACCGACTCGTAGTGAACCATCCTGGCTTGGGAGCGGAGCTGATTAAGTGCTCGAATCTGTTCCAGCGCGTGCCTCGTCTTCAGGCCAGCCCCGGCGGAGGGAGCACCCGGCGGCCGCACCTGGATATCACGCATCAGGTCAAATTGTCGGCCTCGCGGGCTCGAACCAGCATGGCTTGAGCCAAGTGGCTACGGAGGGATGCTGAAGCGTGAATCCTGCATGAATCGCGAGGAAGTCTTAAGTGATAGCGCGATTCCCAAGTTAATCGCAAAGAAGCTAAAGCGACAGCGTGATTCCTGAACGTCGACGGCCCAGCGTCTTAATACATTTCGGGGGAGTCTCACGCGAGAGCGCGATTCGTGCATACTCTGTGTGGAAGTTCCGCGCGAGAGTGCGATGCTGGAAACAATTGTGTAGAAGTATCACGCAGGAGCCGTCGTCGTTGTTGCTGTAGTTCGGGGCCCAACAACGCAGTTTGAGCAGGATCGAAGCCAGGGTGCGAGCCTGGGGGGGGGGGGGGCACTTTGTTGAACAAACACAATTGTGCACTGGTGGGGGATCAGCAATAATTGTCCCTCAACAGCGAGAATGTAACAACAACAGCAACAACAAGAACAACACCAACACCAACAACAGCAAGACCACCACCAACAGCAACACCAACACCACCATCACCAACAACAAAGATAACACCAGGACTGGGGCCTCAACCACGTCCGGTGCTGTAGGCCCCCTGTACACGTGTTGTCTTATAGGATGAGCACCCGGACTGCGGCCCCGTCCCCCCCTTTCCCCCCCGCGAAACGCAACGAAACGCAAGTCTCCAGCTTTCAAACAAAAATATGCTAACCTTTGTGTCCGTTCTATGGATTTCTGCTGGATCTTCGTAGAGCAGTTTCAACATTCTCCGTAATCGTAGGGCACTAAACAGACGTTCTATCAAGGTTGGATCCATCTCTGACAGAATCGTAGAAGAGCTAGATCCAGCTCTATCATAATCCTGCCATAAGTGCTTCCATCTCTAATCGAATCCTATCACGACTGAATCCAGAACCGGTAAGGTGTGCACAGGATCCTAAACAGATCCGATACGGCTTGTATGGGAACCTGTACATATCCGGTACTGCCTGAATCGGAGCCTATACAAATCCGATGCGGCCTCGGTCGAATCCTATACAAAGCCGATGCGGCCTGTAGAGTGTCCTATACAGATCCGATAGAACCGATGCAAGATCTTTTACATATCCGATACGGCCTGTAGCGGATGCTATACAGATCCGATACGGCCTGCGGAGGGTCGTATACAAATCCGATGCGGCCGATGGAGGATCCTATACAAACCGGATGCGGCCTAAATCGGAGCCTCTACAGATCCTACACGGACTGTCGCGGATCCGATACAGAGCCGATGCGGTGTGTTGAAGATTCTGGACAGATCCGATGCGGCCTGTATCGGATCCCATACAAATCCTACACGGCCTGTCGGATATCCTATACAGGGCCGATACGGCCTGTATAGGATCCAATACAGAACGGATGCGGCCTGCTTAGGACACTCTACACATCCGACGCGGCGTGTAGTGGAGCCTAAAACACTCCGATACGACCTGTATAAGACCCGGTACGGCCAATATCGGATTCTCTACAGATCCGGTACGGCCTGTGGAGGGTCCTTTACAAATCCACTGCGGCCTGTGGGGGGTCCTATACACATTCGACACGGCCTGTGTTGGATCCGATACAGATCCGATGCGCGGCCTGGTTTGGATCTGCCACAGGGCCGATACGGCCTGTAAGGGCCCCTATAAAGATCCGATGCGCCCTGTTGAGAGTCCTGTACAGAACCGTTACGGCCTGTACAGGATCCAAAACAAATCCGAAGGGGCCCAGCGGCTGCACAATTTTCGTCGCACCCTTCACGAAGATCGTGGCACCATTGGGAGCTCCAGCGGCTGCGCCATTTTCGGCGCACCACTCACGAGGATCGTGGCCCCATCAAGAGTTCCCCCGAAAGCCCCAACGGTTGCGATCGCATGGCGCCCGCGTTCATGTCGGCACACACCTCACGAGGATCGTGCCCCCATTGGGAGCTCCGCCCAAAGCCCAGAGATCCCTCAGGACCCACAGGACCCGCAGGCGCCACAGGCGTTGCAGATCCCACAAATCCCACCAGCCCCAATGACCCCCCCCATCCCAAAGAATCCACTCCGTTCCCCACTTCACGGGGTCCCCACGTAACGCTCCTAAACCAAAGTCCAGACCGCCCTGTTCTTTCCCCCGCGCCTGCTAGGCCAAAGTCAAATGCACCCTGGACTTCCCTCACGCATGATCGGCCAAGGTCCAAAGCGCCGCGGACTTGTCCTGCGCCTTCTAAACCATATGCCAAACTGCCCTGGATCCCAGAAAAAAAACCATAGGGTCCCTACAGGATCCCAACAAAACCCTGCAGAACCCCCGTGGTACTCTACAATATCCCTCTGGGATCTCTGTCGGGTCCCAGTGGAACTCTGTAGGATCCTTACAGGAGCACCATCGGAGTCGGCATGGGCCCCTATGGGACTCCTACAAAACCCTGTCGGAGCCCATGGGAGCCCGATGGCACCACATAGGAGCCCTAAGGGGCCTCTGTTGGACCCATACGAAATTCCGGTAGAACCGCACAAGAACCTTCATGTGACCCTGAATTCCGCTGCTTTGCGCTGGGGGGGGGGCGGGGAGATCACGGGGCCCCAGGCCCGGACTGGGGGCCCATCCACCTCCGGTGCTGTTGGGCCCCTGTTCACGGGTAGTCGAATAAGGTGACTAACCGGACTGGGGCCCCATACCGCCACCCACCCCGCAAAACGCAACGCGACGCAACCCTTCAGCATCAACCAAACAAAATGCAGCTTGTTGTGTCAGCTGTATGGGTTCCTGTTGGATTTCAGTACGACACCACCAGTAGCCTCCATAATGCCATGGCTCGACGGGACTTTCTACGGAGAAAGGATTCAACTCTACTGGGGTTCTATTGGGACTGGATCCAGCTCTATTAGCACTCGATTAGAACTGGACCCAGTCTACTGAGATGCTGTTAGAGCTGGATCCAGCTCTACTAAGACTGTACTCGAGCAGGGTCCAACTCTATTCGGGCTCTATTCGAGCTGGATCCAGCTCTATGAGCTTTCTATGAGATGTGGATCCAATTTCGATAAGATGCTTTTCGGGCTGGATCCAGCCTTGCGAAAATTCGATCGGAACTGGATCCAGCTCTATGAGGATTCGATTACACCCGGATCCATTTTCAGACTGTTCGCTCCTACCCGCTCGCGTAAGGAAGAATGATAAACCCCTCCCCGAAGGGGAACAAGGGGGCTGGAAGAGAAAACTCTCTAGACCACCTACGCCCAGCTCCTGGGGGGTGGGATTCATTTCTAAAGAATAACTCTTGTTCGTCCCACCATCCAGTAACCATTGTATTGTAAAGGCGTCTGGCCAGTGCCGCCGACCTGGGGCGCTCCAGATGGTGCTCGGGCTCGCTTGGAGGCCACTGGGGCTGTCGTGGGGCCCTCTTGGGGCCGTCGTAGGAGGAGGCCTCTTGAGGGGGTCTTTGAGCCTGTTCGGGGCTTCTTGGAAGCTTTTTGTGTTATCTTAAAACATCCCTGGCCTCTCGGAAACCATCTTGGACGCCTCGCTGTGCCGTCTGGGAGCAGTCTGGTGGCGCTCCAGGGCCGTCTTGGAGGCTACCTTGGCCATCTTGGGGCCGTCTTGGGACCCTCTTGGGGCCGTCACAGGAGCCTCTTGGGCCGTGTAGGGGGAAAAAAACGAAGTGCTGATCCATGCGCGATGGGTGTGATGATGACGATGCGGGTGATGCGCCCTCGAGTTAGCGACGACGCGTGATGACGATGTTGCGTCGCGATGTAATGTCACTATCGTCCACGCTTTCGATCTCACTCGGTCGATCCCACGGTCTTTCTTACAGGATGGATCACACTCGACATACCTAAGTAAAGATTTCACTACCGACCTCACTACAGACCTCACCATAGATCTCGCTTTCGATCTCACTATCGGTCCCTCGATCGATCCCACAGCCAATGTCGCAATCAACCTCGCTGTCGATCTCATTTTCTAGCGATCTGATTCTCCATCCCACGATCTCACTTCCTAGCGATCGCACTGTTCTAGCGATCTCACCAATCTCACGATTCACCCCGTTCTAACGATCTCATCATCGATCTCCCGTAGTCCAAGGCGGGACACCCCCGGCCACCGCCCGCCCACCGCCGACGGACCACCGACAGGACACCAACCGAACACCAACGGGACACCACAGGACACCACGGCGGGACACCCCGAGCCACCGCGCGCCCTACCGGGGCGGAGGGGCGGCCCACTGCATCCGAATCGACCTTTAGCGGCGGCGGGGTCATTCCACTCGCGCGGCCACGCAGCTTCGCCTCATCCGCACGCGCGACACGAACACGAGACCGAAACAGATTTCCCGGGCAGGGGGCAGGGGACCCCGAACCTCCGATTCTCTGAACAATTCGAATTCAACGACGCCGAAGGCTGCCGACGACGAGCATCCACGATGGACCCATACCCCCGACGTCATGTTTGTTTTGTTTTGTCACAACGTGGACTCCAAGGGGTCTCGACCCATTCCCAGGGACGTTGTTTGATACCCGGAGCCCGGCGAGGGCCCCCACGGGCCGAAAACAGCAGCAACAACAACAACAACAACAACACCAACACCAACACCAACACCAACAACAACAACAACAACAACAACAACATCAACAACAACAACAACAACAACAGCAACAACAACAACAACTCCAATGGTGACATTTGTTCATGACCCGAGGGGGTCTGAGAACGACGGCGTCGTCGGACCAGCCTGCTCGTGCCTGGTGCGCGCCAGGAGCGCCCGCATCGCGTTGCCGTCCCCACGCTCCACCACGCGCGAGAGCGCTTCCACCGCCTGGGAACGGGGGGGGCAGGGGGAAAGAGGGGGAGGAGGAGGAGGAGGAGGAGGAGGAGGAGGAGGAGGAGGAGGAGGAGAAGGAGGAGGAGGAGGATGAGGAGGAAGAGGAGGAGGAGGAGGATGAGGAAGAGGAGGAGGAGGAGGACAACACATATGAGCGTGGGCGATGACGAGGAGAGATGTAAAGGGAGGATGGCGAGGACGAGGAGGGGAAGGATGACGAGGATGAGGAGGGGGGAGGATAATAGAGGATAAGGAGCAGTATGAGGAAGATGAAAAGAGGAGTCAGGAAAAGGGATGGAGAAGAAGGGATGGATGACGAAGGAGGGAGGGATGGCTGGGGAATGCGTGGGACCCCCTAAGGTGATGAGGAACAGGAGGAAAAGGATCCACTGGCTCATGGATGCATTGGAGGAGGAATGAGGAAACGGAGGAGGGGACCTTGTCCGAGAGCACCGCAAGCGGCAAGTCAAGAAGGCTTGCCTCCACATCCTCATCCTCGTCCTCCCCCGCCTTTTCCTTTCTATCGATGCACAATGTTCCTCCTTCTCCTCCCCCTTCTTCTTCCTTTTCTCCGCCCCTTTCTCCCCGTCATTATTCTCCTTCTAATTCTTAGCCTCCCCCTCCCCTGAGATCCGAGACCACGAAACAACATCATTCTCCCGCGCCACTTTTCGAGCCGGATCGATCCGCGAGGGTCCCTTCTTGGGCCCGCATCCGGGCAAAATCGGCCGTTGTCAAAACATTGCGACGCCCCGGCCGCCGTCTGCCGCACGTCCTCGTCCGAATCCTCCAGGCACGCCATCAGGCCGATGATCGATCGGGGAGACGTGCGGCTCGACTCTGGAGGACAGGAGCTGGCTAATATAGAGCAGTTCCTGGACGATCGTTGGCCCGCGTCGACCTCAAACAGTGAGTTCTTGCACTCTATGCTGTGCAATCTAGGTGGAGCAACCAGGTGTGGTGCAACCTAGGTGGTGCAATCTATGCGGTGCAAGGCAATGCAAGACAGCGCACCGCGCCGCAACGCAATGCAAAGCAGTGCAACGCAATGCAAAACAACACAAAGCACTGCAACGCATTGCAAAGCAGTGGGGTACAATTCAGAGCAATGTAGTGCGATGCAAAGCAATGCACAGCAATGCAACGCAAAACGACTGATAAGCAATGCGACTGTCATGCGTTGCGAGTGCCATGCCTTGGGGGTTGTGCAACGGAGCGGCGGCGGGCAGGAACGGAGCCGCAGACGAGTCTTTTGTCCAATCGATGGTACCCGACTGGATTGCAAAGGCACTCGATCGCAACCAAGGGGGGCGGGGGGGAACGGGTGCAACGGGGCGGCGGCGGCGAGGCGGCGACGGGGCGGCGACGGCGACCGCAAGGCGGCGGACCCCACAACGGAGCCCCGTTCGGCAGAAAACAACTCCTTCGAAAACAAACACGAATCCCTGAATGCAAGCGTTGTTTGTGGAGTAAAACATGTGAAACACCGTGGACCCCAAACAGTGTGTTTCTAGCAATCCATGTTGTGCAGTATGTGGAGCTGCCGAGGTGGTGCAAGCCTTGTGATCCAGTATATGTCGTACAATCTAGGTTGCGCAATCTACGTGGAACAATGTGGGGGCAGCCTATGTGGTGCAATTAATGAAAGACTTCGAGATGTCGGCTCCACTGCTCGCGCAATCATCCCGCGCACACGCCCGCAACTTGGTTTGCAAAACCCAATCGGCGGCGATTGCGATAAGTGCTTGGTGTTGGCTGGTGCATCCCTGCGGCCGCGCTAGCCCGCGAATGCTCGCGCGCACAGCGGTCAGCTAGTTTGGCGCGACCGACGCGGCCGCGGTGGCGCTGACCGCTGGGCACATCCCAGCGGGCACGTCAGTGCGAATCGTTGACTTGGGCGGGCACGGTATCATGGCGACGTCGGGAACGGTATACGCGATGTATAGCGCTTATGGTGACGATGCTGACGATAACGACGGCAAGGCCAATGACGGCGCCGATGCTGATCACGCCGGTGACGATGACGGTGTCCTCGCGCCGGTGATGCAGGTTACGGAACGAGTTCGACATGCGCGCGCGCGGCCGACGCACGCGGGTGGCCCGCATGGTACTATTTGTGAAATGGATCGTGCCCCTCCCCAGCACGCGCGCGAAGGCGTTCGAATGATTCTGACATGCGGCGCGAGAAGCCCGTTTGGTTTAATTTGATGTAATTGCGGGAAGACACAAGAATTCGCGACAGCGCGCGCACATACTCTTGTTGGGAGAAAACTGATGCTGCAAAGATATGAGTTGTTATATGTTTTCGGAACACTCGGTTTCCAAGGCTTTTGGAGGATTCCAGCATGCGCACGCGACGACGCGCTCGCACACTTCGTCCAGCTTTTTCCAAGGGAATCTTGCGACAGCACGCGCGCAAGGGCATTCGATTGATTTCGACGTGCGCGCGCGAGTGGCACTTTTGGTGGAATGTGATGAAAATGTTGAAAAACCATGGCTTCCTTAAGCATTCGCAAAGAACGCAAGCGCAGGCTTTTTTTGATATGAAGATTCCTGTTTCGAAACCATTGTTTGGTATCTGCTCGGGCCCCTCGATGTTGAAATCCTTAGGAAGCCTACGGCTACGTTTTGGAAGCAATCCAGCATGCGCGCGCGACGACGCGCGCGTAGGCACTCCGTTCAATTTTTGGGGCAAGGGATGAAATAATGCTGTGTGTTTTGATAAACGAGTGCGCGCGCATAGTAGTTTTTGCAGAGGATGATGGGGTGGCGATAGGGGACTGCGTGGGATGGCACGAATTTAAATTTAGGATTGACGAGTGTGCAGAATCATACACGGAAGCAAAAAGAAAAGAAGGGCTCGCTAAGTCTGTGGGGGAGGGGGCAGATCCTAATATACAAAAAACACTGCGGTTCAGCCTAGGCGACGACGGGGTGGCAACGGCAACCACGGAGCCGCCAGACCAGCACCCAGGACCAGAAGACGGGCGATGACGAGGCGTCGACGGGGCAGCGACGGCGACAACGGAGCCGCCGGACCGGCACCCAGGCCCCGACGATGGGCGGCGACGAAGCGTCGACGGGGCAGCGACGGCGACCACGGAGCTGCCAGACCGGCACCCAGGCCCCGACGACGGGCGGTGACGGGGCGGCGACGGCGACCACGGAACCGCCAGACCGCCAGACAGGCCAAACGACGAGTGGCGACGAGGCGGCGACGGGCGGCGACGGCGACCACGGAGCCACCGGACCGCCAGACAAGCCCAGTTCCGTATGAGAAGCAAGCGAGAAACCGTAAGTGCAAGGCACCGTATGGAGAGAATCCCTTCGTGAAGAAATTCCAAAACCAGTTGTTGAATTAGGTATGTAGAAGAACTGGTTTTGCATTAATTCCAAGCCGCTGTTTGCATACGTATTTTTATATACATACAAGACTGCGTTGGCGCTTCGCGCCACGCACCTTGGTGCTTCTCAAGCTTCGCATCTGTTGGCACTTGACGTTGTCCTCGTTGGCCTTTGGAGTTTGGCCGTTTCCTTTCAAGTTCCCTTATCTGTTCTTTCTTTGCTCTCGCTCTCGATTTACATTTTCGTGCGGAGGTTCCTCGTTGGAGACCCTCTTGGGTGCCTCACGAATGCCTCAAGGGCTCTGGGAACCCTCGGGAGGCCTCCTGGGCGCCTCTCTGGGCCTTCTTGGGGGTCCTTTTTGAAGCTCGTTTGGGCCGTCTTGGGTACCTCTTGGGCCGTGCTGGGGCTTTCTTGGGGAATCTCAAGCCTCCTTGGGGTCATCTTGGGCCCTCCTGGGTACCTCCCAAGTCCCTTGTGGGTCTCTCTTGGGAGCCTTCGGGGAGCTCGTGGGCTTCTTCTGGGCCGTATTGGGGCAGTCTTGGGGCCCTCTTGGCCTGTCTCGAAGCCCTCTTGGGGGCCTCTTGGGCCGTCTTGGGGCGATCTCGGAGGCCTCTTGGGCCGTCGTGAAGGCTGCTACGACACAGAAAGCGAGTCTGCTGAACATGCAAGTTTTTTCGACGGGAGTCGGACAATTTGTTCCTCTCGGGGGCCCTCCTGAAATCCTCTTGAGGCGTCCTGGGGCCCTCTTGGGCCGTCTTGGGGGCCGCGTGGGTCGTCTTGAGGCCGTCTTGCGGTGTCTTGGGGCTCTCCTGCGCCTCTTTGACAACTTCTCTGATCGCTTTGGTTCTGCTGGGCAAGGCCGGGCAAGGCGCCCTGGGAGGCGCGGACATCTTCGAAGGGCGTTCAGGGGACCTCAACGCCTCGGATCCCGGGGGTCACTTTTTTTTGGGGGGGATGGTTTTCCCGCCCTCCCTGCTTGCAAACATATAGGAAGAAGGACATACATATATACACACACAACCTCTCTCTCTCACACACACACACTCACACACACGCACAGACACACACACACAGACACACGCAGACACACATACACAGACACACACACATACCCATACAGACACACACACACAGACACAAACACAGACACACACACACAAATTCACACACACACACGTGTGTGTATATATGTATATATGCTGGTCACAAAAAAAGCGTCCTATATGTATGCCTGATGGAGCCGTCAGACAAATGACGAGACCCAATCTGGAACTCCGACGTGAACTCCGGCCGCAAAAATTTAACAGAAACTGGACCATCAAGATTCGGCACGGGCCCGTCAGACAGCGTCGGCCGCGGCCGCCGTCTTCGTCGCCGCCGTCGTAAAAACAACAGCGACAGCTCTGGGTGATGCATGCGGGCGGTGGCGCATGCGGGCGGTGGCACTGAGGCCTTCGGTGGAGCTGTACTGGGTGGGTGGAACGCACGGAGGAGGAGGGCGAGGAGGAGGAGGAGGGAGGAGGGAGGAGGGGGAGGAGGAGGGGTGATGCGGGGCGCTCTCTTCAAAAGGAGGAGCCAACACCACAACATGGTTGGGAAACAAGCGACAGCTCTGGCGAACTCGAGCCTTACGTTCCCCCGCATCGTGCGGGCGTGCCCGCGCTCCGACACCCGCAGCAGCGCCAGGCAGGCCCACAGCCGCACGCGCCCGTCCGCGTCCCTCAGGCGCGCGACGAGCGCTGCAATGGCCTCCTCTGCGAGATGCGACAGGGTGAGATCTGGGCGTTGGACGGTTTCCCCGAGGGCCGTAGGCGACCCGAGGAGGGGAGGAGGAGGGGGAGGAGGGGGAGGAGGAGGGGGAGGAGGAGGAGGAGGAGGAGGAGGAGGAGGAGGAGGAGTGGGAGGAGGAGGAGGCATTGGATATGGAACCGCTGGATAAGCAATCCAGGGTCTGGAAGCCCGCGGAACTCCAATCGTGGAGTGACCATGGGTATCACCACCGCCCTCGTTGGAGAAGGAATCATCCAGGGTCTGAAACCTCCTAGGCACATCCCTGAACGAACGCCCCCACCGTATCCTGAGATCTGGGCGCCCCAGACAGTCGGCGTATCGACAAACATCGGGGCGGAGGCTTCTCGCCGTTCTCGGCCTCCCCCGGGGCCCTCGGCGGGCCTCGGGACCTTCCAAGAGCGGCTCGGGGTGAAACACCGGTCCCGAGGAGATGGTCGAGAAGTCGGCCGAGGAGATGGTCGAGAAGTCGGGAGCCCACGTCTCGAAAAAATCGAGACGCCCGAGGTCTGGGACACCCTCGTTGTTTCACGCCACGCGTTACGGACCTCGGCCATCACACAGCCAAAAGATTGAGCTCAGGGATCCGGTGGAGATTTTTCATGGTCTCGCAATTTCGTCGTGAGGTTATGTCCTCCTCCTCCTCCTCCTAGCTCCTCCTAGCTCCTCCTCCTCCTCCTCCTCCTCCTCCTCCTCCTCCTCTCCTCCTCCTCCTCCTCCTCCTCCTCCTCCTCCTCCTCCTCTCCTCCTCCTCCTCCTCCTCCTCCTCCTCCTCCTCCTCCTCCTCCTCCTCCTCCTCCTCCTCCCCCTCACCCGTGGGTCCAGGTGTGCGCCGTTCCCGCGTCAGCTGGGCGCCCTCGGGCGGCCTCGCGGCCGTCGGGGCGCCGACAGCCGGTCCCCATGGGGGCTGCGGCCCCCCCCACACCCCCGGACGTGCTCCAGCACGCCGGGTGGAGGGGGCTGCAGGGCGGGGGGCCCGGCGCCGGCCCGAGGAGGCCGCGCGGATCTCCACGTGCGGCGAGCGTGCTCGAGGCTGTACCAGGGAGGGAGCCGCCTTCGCGGGTCGAAGGAGTGGCTGTCTCTGCCTCGGCGGAAGGCGGCGGAAGGGCGGCGGAAGCAGAACGAGGGCGGCTCCGCCGGCGGAAGCCGGCGGAAGAAACAAGTTGCCCTGCAGGAGATCAAAAGTGCTTTTCGCTCAGGCTTCCTGAGCCTGCCATTTGTATCCACGCCCTCGCGGTCTGGACTCTACGGCGCGACCCCGTGGATACGCGATCGCGTAGGTGCGTTGCGCGCGGGGCACGCAGGCCACGTATCCACGGGGACCCAATCCAGGGGCCCGGCCCGCGAGGCGGTGAATACGGGTATGGTTCCCGCCCGCGAGATCTCCGAACCGTGCGATCCGACGTCGCGCAAAACAGTGCAACGTCGTGGGGCATCACGCCCGGAGCCCCAGACCCGGTGATTCTGCTGCATGCCTCGGGGCCGATCGATCTGTGAGGGCCTCAGGCCCCGGAACAAGGCAAAATCGCCTGGCGTGAAACATGCGACGCCGGAGCCCCATGTTAACCGAGCATCATTTGACCGATTCCTATCTCGACTCGCGTGGCCCTGGCCACGCTGGCCCGCTCACCCGCCTAGGTGGGGATATGTGCCGGCTCCCTCGGGCTTCGCGGGGCCCATCCCTGCGAGGGTGAGCTGGAGGGGCTCAGATACCATTGCACAATGGGGATGGGGACACGTGCCCAGACATGCGGCGTCCTGTTTTTTTTCTATACGCGGTCGCCAGAACCCGAGCCCGTTTTTTGACGGTCGTGGGGCTCGGTAAGGGCGCCCATGAGGCCGAACATGGCAAGATACCTCCGTCCTGACTTGTGCATGCCGTCCCATGTCTTGGCCAGACGATGATCCTCGTCGCCCTTCTCCACTGCCAGCGGCAGCGCGCGCACCGCCGCCAGTCGGAGGGCCGGGTCCAAGGCCCCCAGGCGCGCGATGAGGCGCCCGGGCTCCTGCCGGCGGGGCGAGCGTTGTTTGTGGTTGAGCTCTGACTTCTCGAGAATACATATGGCTGGTCCGTCCTCCCTGGTAACATGCGCTTTTTCCATTGCGGTGCCCCTCCCGTGGCTCGCACCCGGCTTTCTGCACGGGGGCTGGGTCTCATCCTGGCGTTGCTCCTCGATTGAAGGCGTTTTTTTCATCCATCGACTTCGGGGAAAACAAAACACCACATTGCAGAGGTCAGTGGTATGTGCGCGAGCAAACTGCACTGAAGGTTTCCCGTCGCAGGGCTCAAGCCCTTACTCGCCACCTGGGGGCGCGCCACGCGGGTGCAAGGGGCTGCGACGAGCGTCTGCCTGCGAGCGCGCTCACTCTCGGCTGTTTCAGAAAGATCCTAGATAATCCATTGCGTCGTCTTCTTGGGCGTTCATAGGGAAACGAACTCTATACACCGACGCTTTTCCCGACCCTGCGCTGAAATTCGCACAGGAACGCGGATCCTGGTGTTTACGGGATCCTGGTATATACACTTTTCGTCGTTCCCCTTGGAAAACGGAGGAAAAGTATACGCCACACCACCCCGACGTCGTCCCCGACCCTCAAGAAGTCGTGGGATTGAACAACAAACCGCCACTGGTAGTGTACACGTCCCAGTTCCCGAGCTCAGGTCTGCGCGGTCGAGCTCGACCTGCTCGAGCGCCAGTGCCACACATCGGGCGCGGCAGCCGCGGCGAGCGCCTCTCGCCGAGCCACCCCCGCGAGCCGCTGCTCCGCGCGGGCGACGCCCGCGAGCTCGAGGCTATGGGCGAAGGCGGGCCCGGCTATGCTGGAAGGGGCCCTGGGACACACAAATAAATAGATAAGATTTCCCCATCATTTCAGGGTTTTCGTCGTCCCCGCCAATTTCCGTATCTTCCCATATTTTCGGGGGAATCGCCGATTAGTTGCGTCTGTGTGCTTTTACCCCTCCCGGTATGCCCGCAGCCGCCGAGGTCTCGAGGCTCGAGGACCAACGTGTTCCCAGCTCCCCGGCAGACTGCGCCGTTGGCACTGTTGCCTCGGGGGGGCGCAGTCATGGATCGGCGATCCATGGACCTGGCGCGCGGCCGCCAAGTCCGTGGGTCGGGGGAGGTGCCATCCCCAAAAAGTGCGGCCGGCGCCGCCTCGCTCGGCGGCGGCAATCCGCGGTTTCCCATGGAGGCGTGGCCCTGTCGCTAGTCTACGCCCCCTTGATCCATGCTTACGATCGCCTGATCATGGCAGCGCCGATCTCTCGAGAAGGGTGTCGACGGCTCCCCCCAGGGTGGGGCGAGGTCTGAACAGCACCCAAACATCACCAGGTCGGGCGTCCGAAGCGTGCCTCTTCCAGGAGTGCCCAGGGTGATCCGCGAGGATACTGTAGGGGCCCGACCACAAGAAGCCTTCCACAAGAAACCCAGCCCTGAGACCCCAGGACGTCGATTGGTTTTTGGTGTGGGAACGTCACGCTTCCCACAGCAAAACCATCGAGATCCAAGAAACCCAGGACACCCTGGAGGCAAGCAGGGTGCTTCTTGGCATGGGTCTCCACTGTACACCGCCCTGGCTGTGCAGAGAAAAAGGCTGTGGACGCTCACGGCCGCAGCCCCGCCCCCCAAGCTGTGGCTGGCCTGTGCCTTCCCCGAGCGGCGGGCGGCCCCCCAGGAAGGGCCGACTCGGAGGGCACGCCACAATCCAGGAGGGAAACTAAGCACAGACACGCAGACTCGTCGGGAAGTGGAGGGGACGACAGAGATCCACAAACTACACAAAAGATAGTGGGAATCCTAAAACTTGTGTGCATTCATTTGTGTGCCCCTGAGCCCCTCGAACTCCCTGAGGGCAGAGCACTGCTCGCCCTCAGTTGTATATCGAGGTCCCCCAAATCGGATCAAAGCAAATGTGGTCGAAAGACCGCGCCGCATCGCCGATGCATCGGCTATGCATCGGCGACGTCGGCGATGCATCGGCGACGCCAGCGCGCATAACACTGGGCTCCACATCGAGCTGCATCGCCGATGCATCGGCGATGCGGCGCGATCCTCCCACCCCATCTGGTCGGACCCCACTTGGGAGGCCTGGAGCTCTGACCCTCACAAAAGGGTCTGGCCTCAGTGGTGTGTGCCCCGAGAACAAGCAGCGCCCTCGCCGCCTGCCTTCAGAAAGCTGCTGCCCTTAGCACGCCTTCACGACCTTTCACCGCAAGCTTTTTGTTTTGTCCCCGCCCCCCTGTCGGGCGCTGGCAGAACTGGGTTTAGTGGGACCGTGTTTAGTGATGTGTGCTGGGGGACGCCCCCCCCCCCCCTGCCCCGCCCCGAAACAACACCAGCTACGGCAGCTACAACAGACCTGGGTTAGTGATTCTGGCCAATTTAGGGGCTCCGGGGCCCTACTACTAACTGGTCCCCTTACCTGGGGTCCTGGCTATGCCCGACCCTAGCGCGCAGCCGATCCTCGGGAGCCTCGCTGCCGGCACAGGCGGCGCCCTCGGAGGGCGCCGGGCTGCTGCCGTCGCCTTGCCACGGGATGGGTCCCGGAGGGAAGCGGGCGCCCTGGGCATGCGAAGCCTCCGCACGAGGACCAGCTTTCCCTCCCCGAACGTTTTCTTGCTTGGGGGTGGGGTGCCTCCTCCTCCTCCTGCCGAAGACGGCGAGGAACCTCAGGCCCTGTTTCCCTCAGGACAACTTTTGCTCCGCGGCGGCCCTGGAGATGCGAGGGGGGGCGCTTCACGGGCGCATGGCTGAAAAGCAAGCCTGGGGGAGTCATCCGAAACTAGGGGGAGTTCTCCCCCCCACTCCCAATCAAAATACCAGGGCCCTGCTGCGAACCTGCCCCCCCCAGACTCCGCCTCCCTTGTACCGCCCTCCCGCCCCTGGGCAAGGGGCTGGGTAGAAACCAGGGGACCCCCCTACGCCACTCCTGGAATCAGAGAGGGGGAGGGGGTGAAGGGCAGAAACCAGCAGACCCTCACCTGTTGCAAGGAGAGGTGGGTCCCGGCCCCCCTCGCCCGTGTGTCGCGCCGGCGCACGACGACGGCGGCGACGACCAGACGATGACGACTGACCACGACGACTGCGACACCGACGACAACGACGCTGACAACGATTGCGACGACCGACGACTATGACAGATAAATGCGGCAACGATGCCTGTGACAACCGACGGAAGGTCGACCTCGACGACGACTCGTCGATTCGACCACGGCGATGAGGGCGAGGACCGTCGACGACGACGACGACGACGACATGCGCGGAACAGTAAAGCCGTCATTCAATCGAGCGGCCGGGGTCTCACAGGCCCGTCGGACGCGCGGACCCGAACGGGCGGGTCGGGCGGGCAGGCCATGACAGCGAGCGGGCGGGCATCCACGCCGGTGAGCTGTGACGGACCCTTAACGGGCGGTCGGGCGAGCTGGACACTGGAGCGCGCGAGCCTTCGGCCCGCATTCCGGCGCGCGCCCGGGACCTGCAATGCAAGGGCGGGACGGGCGGGCGGGCCCTCGTGGTTCGGGCGCGGGAGAGAGCCCTGGCGGTCGGGGCACGGGAGCGAGCGGGCGCACCGCCGTGCAAGCGAGCGACCGGGCCCTATAAGTACCGGGCGGGCCAGAGCGGGCGGACCCTGACGGGGGAAATCAAGAGGTACCGATACCGCTGCTCCCCGGACCTTCTCCTGGGGTGCGTTCGGGCCAGGATTTCGAGGCGAATCCAGGGGTGGCGACGACGGCCTCCCACCAGGAGGCCCAAAAAAGGGGAAAACGGGGGAAGGTTAGAGGTATGGGTACCTTTTCCTCCTCGGACTGACGGGTAGGTCCGGCGGGCGAGACATTCAGGCGGGCGGGTGCCCGTGCACGCGAGCGAGAGCGGGCCCTAAAAGGGCGTTGTCGTCGCGAGGCGGGTCGGGCGGGCGGGCAGGCGGGCTCAGTCCGCGCGTCCGTCCGTCCTTCCGTCCCGTTCCGTTTCGCTCCGTTCTGTTATGTTCCGTTCCGTCGTCGTCGTCGTCGTCGTCGTCGTCGTCGTCGTCGTCGTCGTCGTCGTCGTCGTCGTCGTCGTCGTCGTTGTCGTCGTCGTTGTCGTCCTCGTCGTCGTCGTTGTTGTCTTCCTCGTCGTCGTCCTCCTCGTCGTCGTCCTCCTCGTCGTCGTGGGTCGTCGTCGTCGTCGTCGTCGTGGGTCGTCGTCGTCGTCGTCGTTTGCCGGCGCTGGGGTGGCGGGAACAGCCCTTGGAATTTCCAACCTCAAGCGCGAGGGATGGTGTGTATGCGTCCCTCTTTAACACCTGCCCCCTTGCACATGGGGGGGAGGGAGAAGGGGGGGAGGTCCTACCCCCCTCGCAGGGCGCCCGCGACCGTTGTCATGTGTGAAGCATCAACTCATAGACCTCTCCTAAGGGTGCGTCCTGACCCATCTTTTGAACGGGAGTCAGCCGGGGCGCCGAGAAGCCCGCTCCCATGGGCTCAAGCAAGGCAACAACAACATCAACAACAACAACAACAACAACAACAACAACAACAACAACAACAACAACAACAAACACACCGGGACGGGTGCCGCAAGCCAGAGCTACAGTCAACCGCACACCGCCCAACTACCGACCCCAGAAGTCCGCGACCGCCTCCTTGGGGGTCCTGGATCCGTGTTTGAGGGTCTCGGGGCCCGAATGGGCCCGATACATGCCCTCCAGGGTTGCAATTGAGGTGAACCCGCCGGTTGAAACAAATCATACCGCCGGAGAACGGAGCACCAAAGGCCTCCGTCCCTCGGGTCCGCCCCTCCCTCGGGTCCTCTTCAGGATGCAAGTCCTGGGAGGCTTCACTCAGCATCGGCGCTGGTACATCCGTCGTCGAACACCGGCCAGATCTGGCAGAGTCCCACTCAATTCCGCGCAATCTGGCGTAATTAATCCCTGGGCTGATGTTCCGGGCTCACCCGGCCTAGTGGCCCCTCCATCGGGCTTCATAGCCCCCAGTCTATCCTACGAAAACGTCCCAGAATTTGCCGCCCAAATCGTCGAATCGTCGTCTTCGTCGTCGTCGTCGTCGTTCGTCCTTGTCGTCGTCGTCCTCGTCGTCGTCGTCGTCCTCGTCGTCGTCGTTGACCTCGTCGTCGTCGGTGTCGTCGTCGTCGTCTTCGTCGTCGTCGTCGTCGTCGTCGTCGTCGTCGTCGTCGTGGGGGTCACCGCTTGCGCTCGCCCGCCCGCCGGCCGGCGGCCCGCTCGAGGCGCTGCCGCTGCAGGGGGCAGCGATGGGGGGGCGACCAGCACAGAAACGATGGGTTCGATCCATGAGGGGTACACGTCGTTCATGTCTAATCGTGCTCATTTCTACTTGTGATCGTTTCTAATTGTTCGTGGCCCCCTGGTGGCCAGTAAGGGGCCCTCTAGCACAATTAGAAATAAGAGGATCTTGCCCCCCAGAAAATCAAAGAACTTTCGAATAATAAGAAATGAGCAATGTGTAACGATAGGTGGGGGCCTTGCATAGGGGGGGGATGCACCGACCTGGAATCGGCGATACATCGCCGATGGATTGGCGATAGGCCTCCGACAGTGGATCAGCACGTTCCTGGGCAGGTTGGGGCAGTCGGGTCCCCATCGGCGATCAATGGGCGATTGGAGGTCGATGCATCCCCCCCTATGCCTATCCCCCCCGATCGTTGCCCCTGCTAACTCGGGCTCCTGGTGGCCGTTCGGGACGATCCGGGCACGCCCGGAACGTCCCCGGTGAGGCGCAGCTGCTGGGACGCACCCCGAGGCTGAAGAGCCGCCGAGACCCGACGAACACACCCAGCGCCTCGCTTTGTTTCGAGACGCGGGCCCCCGACCTCTCGACCACTTCCTGGGCCTGGCGTTCCATCCCGAGTCGTGCCTTGACGGCCCCGAGGCCCTGGAAAGGCCCCGAGAGGCCGAAAACTATGAACATCCATTCTCTCGATTGTTCGAGACGAGGGATGCCTGGCTCCTGAGCCTATCCCCCCCAAACGTTGCCCCCGCTGCCGCTGCCACTGCTGCTGCCGTCGGGCGCCCCAGCGGAGGCGCCGCCCCCGAGCAGGCGCTCGCAGCCGGCGTCTTCCAGGGCGCCGCGCGCGCAGAGCTCGCCCCGCGGGCTCGCCGCGCGGGGCGCGCCGCGCTTGCAGCTGGAGCAGCCCATGGCCGAGGTGCCCCCCCCCCTCCGCCCCGGAGGCCTCCCTCGAGGGCTTCGGAGCAGGTGGGGGTCGAAGGCTCGCACCGCGGCAGCCGGTGCGTCGCCGACGTGTCGGCGCTGCACCGGCGACGCCGGCGTGGAGAACATCGGGCTTCTCGTCGAGCCGCAGCGCCGATGCATCGGCGATGCGGCGCGCCCTGCTCCGACCCCCGTCTGCTCGGACCCCCTCGGGGAGGCCCAGGCCCCCGCGGGAGGGGCGTGGACGGGCGGGCCCCGGCGGGCCCGCCCGCCTGCCACCGGGGCCGGAGTGCGAGGGCCGCGGTGGGGACAAGCAGAGAACGGAGGGGTTTGCCCCCCTCCTCGGGGCCTCAACCAAGCAGCAACGGCATGCCATCTGTAGTGCACGTTCTCCCCTCCGTGCCCCACCCCGACGTCACCCGACAGAGGCACCCTACTTCCATCCCCATCCTCATCCCCTTCTCCTGCTCGCTACCTGGGGGCGTCCTTCCTCCCTCCTCTCTCGTTCCTACTCGCCTCCCCCTCACCCCCTCCCCCTCCCTCCCTCATCCCTGGGGGGTGGCGGGCGCGTCTCGGGCGAGGCAGGAGTGGGGACGGCGGCGCCCTTTCGGGGGGGAGCATGTGGGGCGAGGGCGACGAGAGGGAGAAGCGAGGAAGGGGCAGGAGAGCGAGGAGAGGGGCCAGGACGTGGGGAGCACGAGGAGGCAGGAGGGGGGCGGAGGAGGAGGAGGTCCAGTCTAAACCCATGACTCCTCAACGATGTTGGAATAGACCCTCCCCCAAGCTCCCTTTTCATGGCAGCACCTCCAAGGATTCGTTCCCACGGAGGGAAGTGCCCCAGTTGGGAGACAACCGTTGGAAGATCCTGGAGCGTGGAGCATCGGAGAAAGTGGGGTAGCTCCCGCCATTCAAGTATCTGTGTGTGTACGCTCCGTGCCTCGGTGCGCGTCTTCAGGAGTTGGGCACCAGCGCGAGCGGGGAGAGTGATGACTCTTATGAAGGGAAATCTGTTTCTTGTTTTGACATCCGCGTCAGCGCCTCCAAATCCTTGGTGCAACCAAGGAGGCGAGCCAGCAGCGGAGGGAGATGCGGGCTCGAAAAAAAGGAAATAAGAGGAGAGCCGCACGACCACATGGCAATCTCCTCCAACGAGGAAGCTGCCCTACGCCCGAGCGGCACGCCCCTCAACATTAGTCCCACCCCGAACTCTCGTCTTCGCGAGGGCTCGGGATGAAGCCCGCTGCTGCTGCTCTCTTTCATGGTGTCTGCTTGATGCTTTGGCTCCCGATCGGCCGAACGTGGTCGAACCAGTGTTACCAGGCCGGCGTCGCCTCTTTGGTTGCTCGTGGATTTCTGTTGCTCTGCGGGCCTGGGGCCCTAGGGGGGCTGGCGGAATGCAAGGCGAGCCTTTAATACATAAGCTTCTCGGTTTCGCACTCTCTCCTGAACGGCTGCGCTGCTCCTCCCCTTTGTTTCGCCCTGTGGAAAGCATGGGTTTCGCTCTACTTCCTGACCCTGGTGAACGGACCGGACGACCGAAGTGGAGCATGGCCGAGGGGGGGAGGAGGCGGAAGAAGAGGAGGAGGAGGAGCAAGATCATGAATCTGAGACGAGGGAGGGGGCAGATGAGGCGGAGGGAGGAGGGAGAGGAGGAGGAGGATCAGGAGGAGGAGGTGGAGGAGAAGGAGGAGCAGGAGGAGTGAGCAAGAGGATGAGGAGGAAGCGGTCCTTTCGCCCTTTCTACGAGTTGCTCAGGCATGACCTCGAACGGATGGCGGCGCGCGCATGACTAGTGGGCACGGAGCGTCAAAGGTCTCCTTCCCGCGAGGGAGCAGGCAGACATCAGCGAGAACGGGACACACACACTAACGATGATGAGGAGAACTACGAATGAGGAGAGGTGAGGGGGAATCACACGAGGAATACGGAGAGGAGGCGGCGGCGAGCACAAGGAATTATCAAACTACGATGAAGGGTGCGAAGGGGGGACTACAAGAGAAACCCAATAATATAATGATGATGATGGTGATGATGAGGATGACGATGACGATGACGATGGTGCTGATGATGACGATGACGATGACGATGATGATGACGACGATGATGATGATGATGATGATGATGATGATGATGATGTCGATGATGGTGATGATGATGATGCTGACGAAGGAGGGGTCAGATGAAGAACGTGAGGAGCTAGGTCGGCTATGTGCGTGTGTGTGTGTGTGCGGAAAAAAGGGGGGGGGAGAGAGAGAGAGAGAGAGAGAGAGAAGGAGTGCATGTTGCCGGGGCAGAAGGATTGCGTGCGTGAGTGTATACACACATGCGCGCGCGTGCGTGCAAGCGTGTGTGCGTGCGTCTGTGTGGCTTAATTCGGGTTTCGTGCACCTACCAACGCCCTATCGCCAGCGCTGTGACTCTGCCTAGCCGCCGCCGCAAAACGTGTGTGTGTGTGGTGTGTGTGTGTGTGTGTGTGTGTGCGTGCGTGTGCGGGCGTGCGGGCGTGCGGGCGTGCGTGTGGGTGTTCGTGTGCGTGTGTGTGTGTGTGTGTGTGTGTGTTTGTGTGTGTGTGTGTGTTTGTGTGTGCGTGTGTGTGTGTGTGCGTGTGTGTGCGTCTGCGTGCGTGTGCGTGCGTGCGTGCGTGCGTGCGTGTGTGTGTGTGTGTGTGCGTGTGTGTGTGTGTGTGTGTGTGTGCGCGCGCGTGGGGGGGGCGTGTGTGCGTGCGTGCGTGCGTGCATGCGCGCGCGCGCGTGTACGTGCATGCGTGTGCGTTCGTACGTGTGTGTGTGTGTGTGCGTGTGTCGTGGAACCCCTATGTCCAAGGGGCGGCGATGGCCCCACTGACCCCCCTGGCCACTGCGAGTGTGGGCCTGAGGATAAGACCCCGATGGCGGGATGGGGCGATCAAGCTCGGACGAGGGGGAAAATGAGGAATCTCTGAAAGCGCCGGGTCTGGAAGTTGCATCGGGCGCCGCGGCGCATCCTGCCCTCATCCCAGGCCTGCCAGGCGGAACCCGACTTGCCACAAAGTACTCCCTGGACCTCTCCTGGGATGCGTTCTGACTACGGTTTCGAGGAGAGTCAGGCCGTGGCGACGAGGAGCGGCATCCCACGAGCGGCGACCAAATCCGTATCCGCGCCCTCGCGGTCTGGATTTAGGTCGGGCATGTCCCCCTACCGGCGGATTTTGGAGAAATTAAGCATAGTCAAAACACATTGAAAAATAACAGCAACAAAAGTTAACAAATCGTCCCCAGACTATTTTTTGACGATTTTTTGATTTTCCCCCTCTGTACAGGGCCGCGCCCGACCTTCTAGAAGAAGAACAAAAGCACATAAACATAAACTTTTGGCGCTCCGCGCGGATTTCTTGGATCCACGCTGGGCCCCCCTCCCTGGCGCGCGGAGCGCGCCATGGGCGGCACCGGAGGCGCCGCTGCGGGGACCCAGCATGACTAACCCCATGCCGCGGATAATAAACACACAGGGATAAGGAAGTTCGGGTTTTCGGGGAGATAATAAGTTGCCCGCCAGAGCAAGCATAAAGAGATATCACGAGGAAAAAGCCAAAGATATCTTGAGGATCCTTGGTCTTTGGTCCTCTATGAGACATCCTCAACGATGATTCAATTTGTAAGCGCTTAATGCAAATTGAAATTTTCATCTGCTCGTAGCTCATGTGCTTAGTTTTCCCAGGATGCTCAACCCCAGCGATAACCAAGTTCAGGGGGGCAGGGAGTCGAGAAGAAAAAGAAATAACAAGAGAAGAAGAGGAAGAGGAGGTAGAGGAGGAAGAGTAGGACGAGATGAGAAGGAGGAGAAAGAGCAAGAGGAGAAGAGAAAGGAGGAAGCAAAATTCAGGGTTCAAAACTTATCAGATTGAATTTGTAAACGCTTAATGGAAATTAGAATTTTCATCTGCTCGTGCACGTGCTTAGTTTTCCCAGGATAATCAACCCCAGCGATAAACAAGTTCAGGGGGGCAGGGAGACAATAAGAAAAATACATAGAAAGAGAGAGATAAAGAAAGAAGAAAAGAAAGAGGATAAGGATGAGGAGGAGGAAGAGCATGAGAAGCAGAGGAAGAGGAAGAAGCAAAAATCCAAAGTTCTAAACTCATTAGATTTAGTTTGTAAGCGCTTAATAAAAATTAAACTTTTCATCTGCTCGTGTAGGGTAGCTCATGTGCTTAGTTTTCCCGGGATAATCAACCCCAGCGATAACCAAGTTCAGGGCGCCAGGGCGCTCGTGTAGGGTAGCTCTTGATGTTGTTATCTAAACATAAGAAGGAAGTAACCTCGATGGCGAACTTTCCCAGTGATAATGAAGTTCGGCCTCCGCGCCCTCCGCCTATATTTGAAACCCTTCTAGGCCGACGATAAAAAAACTCTAACGACTTAAGGGGGGGGGGGGTACTTTATTATCCTCAGCATGGGGTTACCTACCAGACCACCCCAACCCAACACGAAGACCCGAATTTCGGGTTTGGGGGGGGGGTCGGGCTTCACATGTTTTTGTTGTTGTTGTTGTACATTATTACTTCTAAAGAATAATTATTGTTGGGGCCCCTGGTGCACGACCCCCCCGCCGCGCCTAGGCCGCAGCCACGTTTTCATCATTTTCGTGAGGAAGTCTCAGGCAAAACGGGTTGGTCCGGATCCGGTTGTGTTGTTACGATCGGTTTCCCTTGCAAAAAAAAGCTAAAGTGGACATTTCTTGTTCTAACATATCCAAACTTCAAGAATCCCTTGCAAAAAAAGGTAAAGTGGACATTCGCGCGCGCAAGACGAAATCCTTCCAAAACCTTAGTTTCCGTAGCGATTTTAACATACAAACATCAAAAAAACAATGGTTGTTCAACAAAAAAAATGTCAAAATTTCATCCCGCGCGCTCTGCGGATTCGTAGGAAACCCAACACTTTTTAAACATTTCTGTCAAACGGGCTTTTGCGAGCAACTTTTTCGAACTTCTGCAACAACGGTTGCGC